GACTATAGACTAGACTATAGACTAGACTATAGACTAGACTATAGACTAGACTATAGACTAGACTATAGACTAGACTATAGACTAGACTATAGACTAGACTATAGACTAGACTATAGACTAGACTATAGACTAGACTATAGACTAGACTATAGACTAGACTATAGACTAGACTATAGACTAGACTATAGACTAGACTATAGACTAGACTATAGACTAGACTATAGACTAGACTATAAACAATTCGACCAGTTCCTTTTTTGTCTAATCTACATGTTACATATAACTACATACATACATACATATTTATGTATGTACGTACATATGTGTGTACATATGTATAAAATAGTAAAGTTGCGTAAAATATTTTCAACTCAAAATATAATAGTAATAAAAAATCCACAGTGTATTATATTTTGATTGAAATATTTTTTTTTACTAGTTTCTGGCTTTTACGCTTTTTTTCCTTAATAAAGATAAATGTCGACACAGTCCACAAAGTACTTTTTTATATTTATGTATGAACCAAATAATAAAACTTCAACACCACCTCTAGTTTTTGGTCTACGAAAAAAAAAAGAAATAACAAGAATTTTAATCATCATCATAATGATGACAATGATTATCTGTTGACCATGTCGAAAAGGTTCGGCTTGAATTTGTTAGTAAACAAAAACTAGGTGGCTATGTTGGTCTTAAGGTCATGACATTTGGTTGGATATATTTTCCTTTATTTTTTCTTATTTTTGTTGCATATTTGTTACAATAGTATTTGGTTATTTATAATCCTTATAATTTAGGCATAGTCTGCTTTTTATAGGAGGTTTTTGAAATTGGTCTTTTTTTCTATTCCTTTCTTTATGTGCGTTAAATGGACAAATACAATAGAAAAGTCAATCTGATTTTTTGCAATATCTACATAAATATATGTATAAATAGCTATTAAAAGCATACAAATACATATGTAAATGTTTTTATTGTGTGTGTTTATGTATGAATACTAACAATTATTATTTATTTATTTAAATCCTTTTATAATTATCTAAATGATGTGTATGACATAAATAAAAAACCAATAATGATTATTTAATGGTGAGAAGAAATGGAAAAAAAATTAAATGATAAAGACAAGACTAGAGATTATAGACTAGACTTTAGTCGAGACTATAGATTGGACTATAGTTGAAAGGATAGATTTGAACATAGTCAAGATAATAGACTGAACTATCGATTATAGACTAAAATTTAATTGAAACTGTGGGCTATAGATTAGATTATAGTCTAGACTACAGTCTAGAACATAGTAGAAACTATAGGCTACACTATAGTCGATACTATAGACTGGAATATTATCGAGAATATAGACAAGACTATATGCGACACTATAGCCTAGATTATAGTCAAGATTTTAAACTAGATTATAGAGAAATACTATGGACTATAGTCGGGACTATAGGTTATAGACCAAACTGAATATATTGTAGACAATGGGCACGAATATAGGCCAGAATATTTTCAAGACTATAAACTAGATTATAGTCGGAACTCTTCCATATTAGAAATTATAAACTGAACTGTAGTCAGGACTATAGACTGGACTTTAGTCGAGAATATTGACTTTAGTCGAGAGTAAAAACTAGAATATAGTTCAGACTATAGACTAGACTACAGTCGGGAGTATAGATTAGATTATAGCCGATATTATAGACCACATTCGGACTGTAAACTGGACTATACTGTGGACTATAGCCGGGACTATAGATTTTAGACAATAGGCAAGAATATAGTCGAGAACACTATAAACTAGATTATAGTCGGAACTCGACCATATTAGAAACTATAAACTTAACTGTAGTCAGGACTATAGACTGGACTATATTAAGGACTATAGGTAAGACTTTAGTCGAGAGTAAAAACTAGAATATAGTTCAGACTATAGACTAAACTACAATCGGGAGTATAGACTAGATTATAGTCGATACTATAGCCTTGCATAAAGTCGACACTAAGGAGTAGACTATAGTATAGAGTATAGACTAGATGAAAGATTATACTTGAAATTATAGACTAAACTATAGTCGGGACTTTAAACAAGACCATAGTCGATTCTATAGTCTGGATTGTAGCCGATACTAGTCTCTAGTTTAAACTGATACTGCTATTTTTGTCGGCACTAGAAAAAATTTATTTATTTAAGAATTTGTGAACTAATAAACAAAATCATCATTATTTTCTGACGCACTTCATTTCTTAATTTGTCACAATGATTTGTTCAATGCCAACAAAGATTTTTGAATTGTTATTGAGTTTTTATGAAAATATACAAAATTACCATAATTTATAAAAATACAAAATAAATATTTACACATGCAACAGCATGAACGACAGACACTCTAGCCAAACATACACACATATAAAAGACTTAAATAAAAATAAAAAAAAGTACCTATATCCTAGAGGATGAAACAGTACTAAAGACATAACTTTATTTGTACATAAATACAAAAAAAAGGACAAGAGAAGTATGAAAACATTTTGTAATATTTCTTAAGTATCTTAAATCTAAAGTTTTAAAAAATTCCACTGTAACTGATATACAAAAATTCTTATAAATAGTACCAACAAAAGTACTTTCAAATCATGACCTTTTTATTGCCATTTGTATGTTCATTGTTTTAATTTTATTGTTGCTAATTTGTTAATTTTTACGTTTGATTATTTCTTTGTATTGACAACAACATCGAGATTCGAAATTATCAATAAATGTAGAGAATTAAAGTAATGCTACGTGATAAGTGGTTGTTTTTGTAAGTAACACTTTGACCAAAAATAACAAAAAAACGTAAATGTTTTTATAAAGAATGCCAAAAAGTAAATGACGTCCAAGAGTGGGTAGTTTTAACATTTACTTAAAAAAGGATAAAGGGGATTCAGAACTTCCTTATATGAAAGGAGGTCCCATTTAAGAAGTATAATCGAGACTAGAAAGAAGACTATAATTGAGACTATAGACAATATTATAGTTGAGAATATCGACAAGACATTTAGTTGAAACAGCAGACAAGACAGTGGTCTAGACTATAGACATGATTATAGTCGAAACTATATAGAAGACAATAGGTAATACTTTAGATGAGACTTTAGACAAGACTATAGGCAAGACTATAGGCAAGACTATAGGCAAGACTACAGAGAAAAGTATAGTCTAGACTACAGACCTCCGGTAGGTTAGTGTTCTAGTCTGGTAGACCGGAGGTGGTGGGTTCGATTCCCACCTGAGGCACTGGTTAAGGAGCGCCCAACAGGCCCGATAGAGGCCTAGGTGTATTTCTTCGGATTTGATGTATATACATCCTCCTTTCAAACTAACTAACTAACTAACAGATAACACAATAGTAGAGAGTATAGACATGGATATTGTCGTAAATATTGACAAGACCATAGTCTCAACTACAGACAAAACTATAGATACGACTACAGTGATGACTTTAGACAAGACTTTAGACAATACTATAGACAAGACTATAGTCAAGACTATAGATAAGTCTAAAGGCAAGATTTCAGACAAGGCTATAGACATGATTATCTACAAGGCTATGGACAATACTATAGTCGAGACTATAGACAAGACTATAGTTGAGACTATAGACAAGGCTATAGTCAATACTATAGACAAGACTATAGTTGAAAATATAGACTAGACTATGGACGAGACTATAAAGAAGACTCTAGACAAGACTATAGCCGATGTTTTAGACAATAGAATAGTCGAGAGTCTATTATATCAGTTTTCTGGAAAAACTATAGTCTAGACCGTGTCGATGCTATATACAAGTCTACAGACAAAACTTTAGACAAGACTGTAGACAAGATTATAGTCGAGACTATAGAGAAGACCTCAGACAAGGCGATAGACTAAGGCAAGATCATCGACGAGCCTATGGACAATACTATTATAGAAACTATAGACAAGACTTAAAACATGACTATAATCGAGAGTCTATAGTTTATACTATAGACAAGACTATAGTCGAGACTATATACAAGACTACAGGCAAGACTATGGATAAAACTATAGACAAGACTATAGCAGACACTAGGCACTAGACAAAGCTATAAAGACTATTGTCGAGGCTACATGCAAAACTATAGTCTTAAAGCCTCAACTATAGTTTTGTCTGCAACATTTATAGTATAGAAAAGACTATAGTCGATACTTTACTTTAGTCAAAATATAGACAATATTATAACCTAGATTATAGACAAGACTATGGAGAAGACTATAGTCTAGACTATAGACAAGGCTATGCACTAGTCTGCACTATTGATATGACTTTAGACATGACTATATACAAGACCACAGATATGACTATAGTCGAGACTATAGACAAGACTATAGTGAAGGCTATAGATAATACTACAGTTGAGTGTTTATAGTTTCGATTATATCAGTTTGATGACAAAAACTATAGTCGAGACTATAGAAAAGACTACAAACAAGACTATAGACCTAGAAGATTGTGTAGACTTTAGACACGTCTATAGACGAGACTAAAACAATTTCCTTTCTTCTAAGGATTTTCACCTTTTCCCCCCTCAAAATTATCAATTGACCCACTTCGTCACGTACATATGTCATTGAGCATTTGTAGGGAGAAACATTTACTTAGGCATGAATTAATTTTGTTTAAATGGCACGTTTTTGGTGTTTCATTCTTTCACAGATTGTATACATATTGATAGTACAACAAACATAAACACTAAGACTCATTAAAACCAAAAAAAGGCGGACAAATTTATGCTAAAATTTAAATATTTGTGAAAATAAGGTCAAACACAAAAGTGAAAAAATAATAAAACAACAGTTTATTAAAAAAAATCCAAAAATTTTATGAAGAAGTTGTTCAGTTTTCTCATAATGTTTCATTTAATAAGTTAAATGTCCTAAACACAAGTTAATTGTTTATTATTTTAATAATGTGTTTTTATTTTATATTTTGCAGACGTTTAATTAACAATCCCCTAAAGCACTTAAGTGGAGATACATTTTTTAATAATTATCATTTGGAGGCTTTGTAAGTATATATAATGTTTTATGCTTATAATGGTCAGATTGAAAGAAAATATAATTTCTCTTTTTCAGATCTTTAAGCCATACCCCCTTGAGAATAGAAAGTTCTTTTATGCAATGGTTAAATATTTCCTATTTAAATTTGACTGGCATACGTTTCGATATGATCGAATTCGATTCGTTAAAAGTAATACCCAATCTGAAATATATAATCTATGATCGTTTTTACTTCTGTTCGATGACACCAAATATACGCATGTGTAAACCCAATTCAGATGGTGTATCTTCGTTTAAGGATCTACTGAGTAAACCGGTTTTACGCTATTCAGCCTGGATAATGGCTTTTATAACGATTACTGGTAATGTAATGGTGTTATGGGGTCGTTTTATATATCGTGATGAAAATATTGCTGTGACAATGGTTATACGTAATTTAGCTATGGCGGATATTTTAATGGGATTTTATTTGTTGACCATTGGTTTACAGGATTACCGTTATAGGGATATATATAATACGTAAGTATAAATTATAGAATATTTTATTCAAGGATATAGAACCTTCTCCAGGTCATATAATATTGATCACTTCATTTGGTCCAAGGCTTTAGACAAAACTATAGGCAAGACTATATTCTAGACTACCGACAACACAATAGCCGAAACTATATACAAGACTATAGCCGTAACTATTTACAAGACCACAGTCTCAACTATAGACAAAACTATAGTTGCTATAAGACTACAGACATGACTTTAAACAAGACTTTAGACAAGACTATAGTCTAGACTACAGACAACATAACAGTCGAGACTATATACAAGACAATAGTCGACACTATAGACAAGACTATAGTCGTAACTATTGACAAGACTATAGTTCATTTGGTCCAAGACTGATCCTTTTGTCTAACCCAAAACTGTTCATATCTCGACCCAGCACACAGGACGACTATTTGTCCATGTTCGATTTTGAATCTCACCAACTTGTAGCGGGAATGAATGAATCCATTGTACATTCTCGCCACAAGGACTTGAGTACCTCTATTTTAATAAAACGGGAATCATATTGACATAACGCCTTTTTAGATACAAATGTATAGATCACAAGTGTGTCATTCTAAAATATAGAAGGGTAGTCCATCCATAGTCCCTACAAGTTTTCTTGACGGGCTTTGTGTGGCCTTGTCTTGATGACATAACATCCACAGAATGGACAAGAGACGACTCAGCACCACTCCCTTGTGATTTGCAAAGAACACGCAGGTTGCAATTTGTTTACATGACTGACACCGGTCCGTGCAAGATCACTTTGTTCAAGAACTCGAGTTAATCTCTAAGCTTTGCCATAGTAGTCATGTTGCGAATGGCGGAATTTGCTGAATTCCCGCTATTAGAGTTTCGACCAGCAACCACCACATGCATTCCCAAGGAATCTCATTCATACCCAGTACGAACAAGTTCACGAGGCACCAGCTTGAAAAAGTAGTCTGGTCAGACCACGAATCAAATTTTTAAGCACCTTTATATCCGAGAATTGCAATAACACCAAAGTAACATGCTCCCGGGGGAGCTGTCCCTACAGTAAATGTAGAGATGTCTTTCTTCAGTTTGCAATCTAACCGGAGCCAGATCTCCGAGCTGAGAAATACAAATCCGATTTATACTTTAAGGGAAAAAGTTAGGGACTAGACTAAGACAATTGCAATTCAATGTATTCAGTTTCATATTTTGTTTTATATTTTCAGAGTCGCTTTAGATTGGATTACCTCCTGGCATTGTGCCGCCATAGGCATCTTAGCAGTCAG